GGGCACGATGATTCTACTATCGGACCAGTTCAACGGAATGCCATTGAACAAATGGCATCAAGTGCTTCTTGCACGCAGAATAGGGGTCCTATAGAGTCAGTGTGTGTTGAACCTGTGTTGTGTTTGTGGAATTAGGCTGCTTCGGCGCGGAGCGCTATGTCCACAGTCCGAGCAGCGTATGAGGACAGGTCAGTGCTCTGCTGATTTAATTGGTTTTGGTGGATTGGTTTGCATTCGCCAGCTGACCAAAACAGTCAATCTTAAGCCATGCATGCCTGAGATGTTATTTCGCTTTTGCTTTTAGTTTCTTTTCTTCCGAGGAGGCCCGTGGCCATACGACGTCGTGGACAAGAAAGGTCGCTGAGTATGCGCGTGGGAAGAATTGTGCCCGAGACCTCTTTGGACGGATGCCCCTTCCCCTAGATCTTAGCCTTTAATATCAGAAACATTTTGAACAATACTATTTTGCCGAGAAGTCTTATTGTACATTGTCAAATTCTAGTTTGGTTGTTTTTCTCCAGTCTATGAGGAACCTTGTATGGTGGATTGTGATTTGAAGTTAGACGGAGATCATATTGTTTCAGCGGCCGTTCCATTGATACTGCCTGAACAAATATTGGAATATCTCATCAGCAAATGTGACCTGAAGATCGATGATCGAATATGTCGGAGATATTGGGACCATCTAGAGCGTCACAATGATGAAGTTGCTGTTGAGTCCAGTCGATATCGAATGCTCCAAGACAAAGAGGTGTGGCCTTTAGGCATGCACGGAGACGAGGCGAACATTGGAATTATCAGCCAGCCATACAGTAAGATCATTGGGATGACGCTCAACATCCCAGTGTTTCGACCAAAATCGACTCGATTGACCAGATTCTTAATGTTCGCGTTGGAGAGTGCTACACTGGTTGACGCAGTTCACACAGTCTGGCCATTGCTGGTGCGGATTGTTGCTTCATTGAACCGATGCACTGAAGAGGGCATATTGGGAAGAAAATTTATTCTTACAGAATTGAGAGGGGACCAAGCCTGGTTTTACTTCCTTTTGCAGCACAAAGCACGCTGGACCTCTGTGAATATATGCTTCAGATGTGGAGCACACACCAAGTCTGACCAGAATTGTTATGCTTTGTATGATGCCGGGTCAACAAATCGCAAGTCAACCGCAGACTTCATCGTTGACGAATTGTCAAACGATTTGTGTACCTGTTCATGAACTAGAGGCAACAATTTCTTAGAGTTTTGGTGACTAATTACTATCATGGACGGACTAAAACCCGCTTTCAACCTAATTAGAGGGATCTCACGTCTAAAGCTGAGGTCCGCTTGTGGATTTGTACTTTTTCTCCATCGACTCAATCAAGCATTGCACACTCCATATCCTGAACCTGGGGCTAGTACACGTCTCAAACGGATCGGCTTTGCGCCTTGTTTGCTATCTCAATTTTTGTTAACTTCGTGCCATCCTAATGGGGGAGATTTCCCAACTGGGGGTCTGAATGTTGTGATTCGATCATGGAAGGGCAATGCTACTCGATATGCACTACTTTGGCCCTGTGCATCGACGTGGCGAACCGGTGGCCTACAAAGGTCCATGCGAGAGTGCCTTCGAAAGCTTCCAGCGGTGGAGGGTTGCACATCGCATCTCTTCAAGTCAAAAGAGGTTCAGCTATTGGACCGTTTTCAAAGATGAGTTTGGGGCATACCTAAATAGTAAGGGCTACAATTCAAGAATCTTGTCTTCATGGTTGGAGCACGAACTTGAAGCTGCCTGGACTCATCCTCCACCAAACCTTCTGCCTGACGATCGGTTGTATCTTTCCTTGGTGGCGCTGAAACCTTGATCATGATTCAGCAATTTTTGTGGGTTTCTCAAATAGATCAGTTAATCACCTATTTTTGCTTTGGGGGCACATATTTGGTGTTTCAGCGCCGCCTCGAGGAAAGCAATCAACCGCTACTTCGCGCTCACGGAGCGAGCCTGCAGGGCACTGTCGCCCAGCTCGAAGACAGCCATGATGCCATGTAGTGCACGGCGATCGTCATTTGATTTTTGGGATGTATGAGTATGTGGGATTGGGTTTGGAATAGTGAAATTGTTTCCCGTTACCCCTGAACTTCCAACGACGCTAAAAAATACTTGGTATTTGCTCAACGTGATCTAAGTTTACTATGGACCATCTTCTAGTCTTGCAAGGTGTTGATTGCAACCGAGGACTCGCATAGAGTCCGAACAAATCGAGGCGGCAGGGAAAATGTATCTCCAGACCTATCAAACATTGACTTCAATGTCTATGAGGAGCTGCAGTGTCCCTGAATGTGCTCTTTGTACCTTTTTCGGAGAAGGGAGTGGCCCTTGTCCTTTTGGAAGGAGACCTGATTGTGAGATTAGTTGGACAATGATCCCCAAATGGCATGCGTCTTGTCTATGGTATCCCTTCCTTGTCGAATTGGGGTGATCTGCTGGGTTTGAGGCAATGGCTGAGATGTTGCAGACTGTGGTTCGTCAAAGGCGTTTCCTGGTGGCAATGCCTGCGGCCCTTGTTAAGTGCTAAAAAATATAGGTTTGATGTGTCCAGACCTCTGAGGTCTAAACCCACGCTTCCAACACACGTTTTGCGACGAGGACTTTATGTCAGTCCTCAAAGGTATTGTCCCCAGGAGTGTTCTGATTCTTTGCAAGTTTGCTTCACTCTAGCTCTTGCACCAACTGGTTGTGTCATGATCAAACATGCTGACTCCAGCTCTTGTTCAGGCTGGGCCAGAAAATCTGAAAGCAAAGGCAAACTCCGCCACAAAGGTGGAAAGCTGTGGGGTATCCTCAGGCTTGCTCGGCTTCGATATCTTTCATTGTCTTGGCGCATCCGCGAAGCGGGAAGCCAACGAACCCGTCGGCAATGAATGAGAAAAAACTGGAATCTTGGGAGGTTTTGTGGGACCTCAAGTGATGTTGTGGATTGTCATGTCTTCTTGAAGTAGGGTAAAACTTCGACGTACCGGAATGTCTATAGTAAACTTAGACGTTGAGCAAATCCTAAGTTTTTTAGCGTCGTTGGAAGTTCAGGGTATATATATACATATATATTCGATAGAGATATACCTGCATATTCCTGCTGCGTTGTTTTCAGTCCTGGCTGAAAATTCAGCCCGGGCTGAAATTTCTGCCCGCAGCTGGATTTCCCGCCCGAATGGGTTTCAGACCTTTTTGTGATATTGAGAATGCAAAGGTGTCATGAGCCATGATGTGAAAGACGTCCATGTCTTTCACAAGCCCTGCCACACAGGTAATCAAACTTAGCAAAGTCAGCCCGTATTCAAGATTCTGCCCGAGGGCAGTTTTTCTGCCCGAACGCAGGTTCAGGCTGGAGACGTGACTTCAGGCTGAAAATTGCACCTTTAGGAAGACATATAGGTATTATAATATTATCAATAAATATACAAATTATGGAAATTCTTAAATTTAGAAAAATACAAAATTTAACGCATTAAAAAACAAGCTAAACCAAAAGCAGTGACTTTAGTTTGGTGAGATGCGATGCGGTAGTGTCACTGAGAACTAGCTCTCTATCCATTTGCACATGTTACGTTTAACGCAGTTGACAAACGTTAACCTTGTCATCATGCGTGTACTATCCTGACGGCGGCTCCTGCGGTGCTTGAATCTGAAATCCCAAATGAAGCTTCCCAGCTGGAGCACCCCGAGATGTCTGCAATGCCACCTCCAGCGTCTTCATCGGACGTTCTATTTCAAGCTGCCCAAATAAAAGCAAGAAAACAGTACCAGTCATGTTTGTCATGCCATCATCGGAAAGACCCCACCATACGGCCAAAAAGTTTGGAACATCACTTTATCTTCCATTGTTTCTAAGAAAATAAATTAAATTACAAAAAAATAAACAAATCCTACAATCAATCTAAAAATGTTTTATGGTTTTCAAATTTCAAATTAAAAATGAAATAAACCCATAAAATGTTATATATTTCTATGGTTTTATTTAAGTATTAATTAACATATATCTTATATCACATTATAACACTGCGTTTCTGAGGTGCTGGAGAGCTCAACTGTTCGGCCACCAGGTCAACAAACGACGTCGTCACCGACCAGGTCAACAACGCTGACCTGCTTGACTCCAAAGGCACCCGAAAACGCTCCAAAAACTCAGCACCTCTGGAAACCTCGAAAAAATCCACATGGTGAGTATTGGTGAATATATGGCCCTACCATCCCTTACCACCCCTTCTGTGCATCAACCTCGGAATTTATTCATCCCCTCCAAACCCAACCTCCGCGCGAAGAAGCCGCCTTCGCCCGGGGCGGGCACCGGGCCTGTCGGAGGTGTTCGATCTTCTTGATCGCCTGTTCCGTGGGCGGCAGCCCTGCCGGAACAAAGGCCTCCCAGCCTGGGCGGTTCACGGTTCAGCTTGGTTCTGCGACCTGGGAGGTCACCCCGCAGGGCCGTAGGCAGGGCCGCATGCAGGGCCGTTCAAGTGAGGACGTTATGATTCACTTATAAGAAATAGCGTATTTGAATGATTCCACATCTTTACAGTAATCTTTTCAATTTCCAAAGGATCAAGCATCTGCTCCCTTGTGTCGCCTCGTTCTCATGTGCACGTACTTAGTGCCTTCCCCCACCGCACCCCAGTCCGACCCGCGCGACCCACGACCGGCGCGCCTGGCACATCACCGGTGACGTTGAGCAGCGTGATCCAGTCTTTGCCAAAGTCACAATCCTCCCCACACGCCCCGCGCCCCGCGCCCCGCATGGCATTGGGCTACCCGGAAAGGCGACAACCCGCACGCGACCGCCGTCGACGCGGGAGACCGGTCGCACCGGTCGCCCCACCGGTCGCACTGGTCGCCTCTTGAATGCCCGCGCCCGCGTTGGCGACTTCCGCAAAGTCCGCCGTGAGCGCTAGCCAGTCCGCGCCGCAGAGGCCGTTGGAGTTCAAGGAGTCCGCGCAGGCGGAGGAGGCCAAGGAGAGGTAGGAGGCTAACCAAAACCTGCAGTGATGCAGCCTGGGGAGTGAAAGTGAATCAACTGTGCTTCAAAATATGAGTAGACCAGTGGTTGGAGAAGAGGTTTCTCCGCACCTGCTTGTGCCAAGTGATTGAACATACTTGACCAGAGCAATAGTAGCCCGTGTTGGTCCTTAAACGGTCTTTGACGGCTTGCTTTCCGACCCTCCAGGGGTCCGGACCTCAAGAAAGGCGTCCCCAACGGGTCCAAGGAGGTAACAACTGGTCCTTAACCGTAACCTCATTGAGTACTGCCTTTACATGACCGGACAGAGTGAGGTCCTTGACCTGTCAAGTATATATGCATGAATAATGTAGAATCTGCGGTATTCTGTTTTATCTATTTTTGTTCTATACAGTTGGGTGGTGTTTAGTCGGTTCGGCCCATCCAGTCAGCGGATGTGACAGGGGCACCCCGACCGAACCTCCATGGATAGCACCCCGACATGTGACTCCTGGCTAATATATAGAAGTTGTTTGTTGAATCGTTCCGATCTGTTCAAGTCATGTCCCTCTTCTGCACGCCATGTCCCCCTTCGTTGGCTGCATCGACCACGGACGATGAAGGCTGTACATGTCCTGCCTCCAACCACTCATTCTTTGAACAGAAAGCCAACGGCAAAACCCTGCACTTGCTTTGGAGGAAGCATCAAAACTTGCATTGCGCTTTACATACCCAGGGTTCTCGCTAGGGCATGATCCAAAATGATACCTGATCTAGCTCACCGAGATCAAAAGTCTCTACATTCCAAGGAAAGGTCCAAAACAATCAGCAAACCACCGGCACATCACAGTGCCAGCAAAGGTCAAACCGCACCCTCCACCCCAAAAAAGCTGCTCTCATCGGGCGGGGCAACATTGAGGCGATAAAGCCAGACACGCTGATGGCACAGCCCACATTGGAATTGTCTGGGCACTGCCAGCCATCGTACTTGATTGCCTCACGCGGAAAGTTGTGTTTTTCGGCTGTGCTTGTTTGCGTGACAAGGTGATAGCATGTGATGTTGTCGATTGATCGATGATCAGGAGAACACCAAGCAAACCTATGTCATCCTATGTCACATGTCTGGTTTCAACGGTTGGTTCCTTGTCAATGGACGAAATATGTAGAATGAATCTGTACAAGTACATCTAGCCGCTTAGCCCCCCCTCCCGGGGTGTGTCATTCCACAGTGCGCATGACGCGGCCCCCCCAACCCGGTAGAGGAAGACCACGCCCTGGCCGAGGTAGGACGTCGCTTGGACCACGTCGATGACACACTCCGTGCGCGCCTCGGTCGCTCGGTCCGGCAGGGCAACCCGTGCGTGACCCGGTGGAATCCACCGGTGAAAGTCCGACGAATATCTCTGGTCTTCCAAAAAGGTCTCATCCGCACACCTGACCTTGGAACGGCAACTACTCCGCCAAAAAGGCGGAGAAAACGGGACGCGTTTGGCCCAGCCACGCGTCCCGTTTAAGGCCAGCCACGGACGGCATCCGTCGTCGATGGTTCTGAATCGACCCAATGGGCCTAAGGGTTTGGTACCCCAACAACTTGGGCCAAGGAGGAAGAGGTTTTTAGCTCATGGGATCGTCTCATTGCTCTGTTTCCTGGTCAAGTCCAGTCCGTCTGTTTACCTCTTAGTGCAAGGAAATGCTCCCCGAATCATTCTCTCTGAACAACTCGACTCTGATGTTGTTAAAAAGGCCCAGTCAAGTTCTGTGGGCCCAAGGATTTCATTAAACCTCGATGAACCTCAACCGCGCTTAAAAGACATACTCCCTCACCAAGCCCCCACTTCCCCACGCTCCCAAAACCTCCCGAGCTCCCCCCATGCCGCGTACTGACTCCCTTCAGCCCCCGGCCCAGGGGATCTCGGAAGGGTTCGAGCCGTAGAAGAGGTCCGACAGCTCACGGGGGACCTTCTTCGTGGCCCAGACCGGCAGGCCTGACGACGGACCGACGTCGGTCGCGTGGGTCCGACGCGGTGTTCGGACCGTTCGGGCTGCCCGGTGCTCGTTCGGTGCACGATCTTCGCCAGGGCGTGGCAACCGTGGACCCTCAATGGATGCGGAGTCCTTTCATTATTTTTTGGGACCTCAGCTTCTATAGGTCGTGACCATGCGTGTGCTGGAGTGTAGCATCTCAAATCACTTCGAACGTCTTCGGACGCTGAGAATCCCCCCTTTACGCCCAGTGATCCATCCATTCTTCCTGCAAAACCCAAACCTTCTTGACCAAACACGCCTTCCACCTGGTCACCCAAACTTCGCCTTCCACCCATCTTTACTCAACTCATGGCTCGCAACATCGGCGGAAAACGTCGCTCCCATGTCGCTCAACTGTCTGTTCCGCCAGCGCCGCTCGGACCCGTCCGTGTCGCGTCGCGGTCGCGCGGTCGCATCGCCTTCGGCTCGATGAATGATCTCATCGATGCCAGGGATCTCCTCCCAATCCGACGAGATCTCCTCCCAATCGATGCTCCTGCACCAAGCCCAGAAAGACTGATGTGGCTCAGATCGTCGAGTCAACGGAAGGCAAAAGGCTCAGGGTGCGTCCGCTTGCTTGCGGGGCTTGGCACACAAGCCTGTCCATCCGACCCCCGGGGGTGTTGGGGGAGAACCAAAACCGACCTCGAAGCCTCGTCCGCCACGTGACCTGCGTCGACGGGAATCCTGCAGGCTCCAGGGTCGGAGGTGTTCTTGAGACCTAAAGGTTCCACAATCATCATCATCCATGATCCGGGTGGGTTCAGTTTGATTCAGATCTCCAAGTCCCGACTCTGGACGGGACTTGAGCGTTCACGCCGAACCGCCACCTCGCCGGTAAGGGGAGCGCTCTCAAAGGGGAGCGCTGTTATCGGGCTCGCGCCGCCGTAGGGCGACGTCAAAGGCACTGAAGAGCATTTTTCTTTGGTGTTGGAGTGTGCAGTGGACCGTCCGCACCACCACGTGTGGTTCGGCGTGTTCTTCCTCAAAGGCTTGGCGAGCCGCTGTGCCGCCCACGCCGTTCGCCGTCACCCGCCCGTCCTCTCCGCCGTTTGCCGGGTCCAAAAGCCAAGGCCCAGAAGGCCCAGGACGGCCAAGCCGAAAGAGGCCGCTGGCAGCCCCAAGCGCCATCGGCCAACCTGGGGGGCTGAGATGCCAATGGGTGGGGAGGGGAGCGTAGCGAGCGGAGACAAATCGCCAAACTGCAAGGTCAAACAACGTAGTCTAAAATCAGGTCATAGGGGTTGCTTCTGGCTCTCTGAGAGACTCTGACTGGGGTTCCTTGGACTTGCAAATCTGTGTGTGGTGGTGTGTTCTCCCGATCGCCGATGTCCTAATAAACCCCAAAGACATCGAAGTTTAGGACGAAAAGATACGATAGAATCAACATGTACAGCATCTCTTTTCCTGGACTGGACGCCCAAATCAGGTGGTGAGCGAAGATACAGTAGTTTGCAGGCATCCCTTACCGCCACGTAACCCTGCAAATCGGTTTGTTGGGACATGATGGGACATGCAATTCTTCGACACGCCAATCCCGGCCCGCACACCTCTTTTGGCCGCAAATGTAAGAGCTCCTCCTCGTCTTGCTTCAGAGGCAACATGGCGAACGTTTGACCAAAAGAATATCCCTCCTTTGCTTGATCTCTACTCCTTCCTACGTGGTTTGGAAGCCAGATCTTGTAGCTCTGTCTTCTTCATGCCCCCCCTGATCCTTTGACTCATCACTTCCTTGTTTTACGGCGCATTCGATGTAGGCATGAGTATGCTGCATGCTCGGATTCTCATCGAACTCCCTGAACCATTCATCTACAACGAGTGTTCCCGTGCTTGACGAGTCTCTGGTTTTCCCATGCTTTCACCGAAGCTCCTTCGTTTGGGCCATGTGATGCAAGCATGCGGGAGGCCGGACCGGACCTGGATTCCACCAGTCTGGTGAGTTCCCAGTCTTCTCATGGTCAACTCACTTTTCAGTTCCTCCGTTCCCTCCAGGATGACTGCCATTTCCCTCATCCTTCCGATGCTCGTTCCGATGCTCGCTCCGATGGGCCGGACTCTCCCCGCGTGGCTTCACGCTCCGACCAGGAGGGAGACACGAATGGGCCGAAGAGAGCGGGTCACGTGGACCGCCGTCTTGAACCGCACGAGAGAGAGGGGGGCGATGCAACAATGTGCCAGGCAGGTCTGGGTGTTTCTCAAGATGGAAACCGTTTTTTTCCGGGCGCTGACATATTCTTATCTTGTCAGAGACCCGACAAGTTGCAAACTGAGGTGGGCATGTCTTGGAATGGAACGAACATCATATATATATATATATATTGCTTCATGCTTCAGAAACCCATCCACATCCCATCGATTGATTGGAGGTGCGCCGAATACAAACGTCAGAGTCTGATGGTCCAACAGATGCTCCCATGGCGCAGGGCTCCGCGCCGCCCGGGGCAGTAGACGGTGGAAACAGGATAAACGGCACCCACGAGGTTTCTGTATCGACTTCTGATTGAATTGAATGCTCGACCTCACAAGTTTAATCATTGGACGTGGGCTTCTGGGAAGCTGGTCTTAGCTCAAAAAACTCCAAGTTGTTGAACCTTGGAAGGCCAGTTCAGCCCTACTTGAAGAACTCTGAACCAAAGGCATGACGAGAAACACGAAAGAAACGAGCGCTGGCCACCCGATCTTTTCCGAGGACACGGCCGTTCCGACCCCAGAAAGGGCCGGCCGTTCCGGGCCGTTCCGCCAAGGTCTTTTGCCCTGGAAATCAAAATGTACCAAATGTCAGGTGCCTCCCTACCGGCCCACGAGTTCAACTCCTTCCCAGCTTCCAGGTGCTCAGTTTTGATCAGAGCAAAGGAGGAGAGTATGAGGAATGTGTAAGGAATCTGTGAGCAGCTCACGCTGGGACCGGTTGGGAGGCACAGTGTCCTTCCAAAACATATAGAACAGACTCCCGATACTCCGCCTTGCGCCACAAAGGCCCAATGCTTGACATTTCTTTTGAGCATTCTTGAATGAGGCCATGACTGATTGGTCTGTCTCACAGTGGAACCCCTAGCAGAACACGCATCAGTTTGACCGCTGTTATGACTCTCAGTGTGAATAAGTTTCACTCTTCGATACTCTTTGTATTTTGATTCGATTGATCCTACAAGTCTTGCCTAATTCTCTGTCAACAGACTATGAAATGTGGGATTTTAGTGCATGTTTTGTCAAAAGTCTTGCCTGTGTCCGAAAGTCGGACGCTACCACTGTAGGTACTACCACTCCAAAAAGGACACTGCGAAGAAGCTTTTGTGCACATGTTCGTTCATTCCACACCAGTGTGCTCTCAGCTACCTCCGATGACCGAATCAAGCACAATGAAGGAGGCCCAGCGAAGGACGGACAGAACTCGCACAGCAGCCAGGAAATGTCGCGACATCTGAATAACTTACACTTAAATGTTCAATTGCAATCCCAACAATATCCTTCAATAAGTGTCCTTATTCGACTTGGATTGCAAAGTCACTTTGAAGGAAGACGACACTGTGGGGTTCACCAAGAACAAAACTTGGCAGATTCAAAAGCATTCCCTCCACCGCATGGCCCTCTCCCATGTACTCTCTGGAAAGTCT